GAGGCAACTACAAGAGCAAGCAAGCGTTTAGAACTTATTCACACCGATGTGTGTGGACCAGTTGATCCTTTTTCTCTCGGCAAAAAATAGATATTTTCTCCTCTTTATTGATGATTTTAGCTGGAAGACATGGGTCTATTTCTTAAAACAAAAGTCGGAAGTGTATAATCTATTTAAAAAATTCAAGGCGCTTGTTGAGAAGCAAAGTAGCTACGATATAGAAGCCATGAGATCCGATAGAGGAGGCGAATTCACTTCAAATGAATTTAATGAATTTTGTGAAGAAAACGGAATTTGCTGACCTCTAACACTTTCGTACTCCCCACAAAAAAATGGTGTTGCTGAAAGAAAAAATAGATCCATTCTTAACATGGCTCGAAGCATGTTGAAGAGCAAAAAGATGCTGAAAGAATTTTGGGCCGAAGCTGTGGATTGTGCAGTCTACTTGTCAAACTGCTCTCCCACACGAAATGTATTGGGGAAGACTCCACAAGAAGCATGAAGCGAAAGAAAGCTAGGGATCTCACATTTGTGAGTTTTTGGGAGCTTTGCCTATGCACAAGTGCCAGAGCAAAGGCGGTCCAAACTTGAAGATAGAAGTGAAAAGTATGTCTTCATCTGCTATGATTCAAGTTCCAATGGCTACAAGTAGTACAATCCAAGCAATGGGAAGGTGATCTCGAGCCGACACGTGGTTTTTGATGAAGAAAGCATGTGGGATTGGAAAACTCAAGAAAAGGAGCAATATGATTTCTTTCCCGTGTTCAAAGAAAGGTTCGAAGAAATGGAAGAGCCACAAAATTCTATGACACCACCTTCATCACCAACTCCAAACCGTGAAGATCCATCCTCGGAGGAAAGCTCAAGTGAAAGGTCATGCCGCGTGAGGAACCTACAAGAGCTCTATGAGGTAACGGCAAACCAAGACAATCTCACTTTATTTTGTCTTTTTGTCGATTGTGAACCAATAGGTTTTGAAGAAGCAGTGCAAAGCAAGAAATCAAGAGATGCCATGGATGAAGAGATTCAAGCAGTCAAGAAAAATGATACATGGGAGCTAGCCGATCTTCCAAAAGGCCACAAAGCAATTGGCGTGAAGTGGGTGTACAAAGCAAAAAAGAATATCAAAGGAGAAGTGGAGCAATACAAAGTAAGACTTGTCGCCAAAGGATACAAGCAACGAGCTGACATCGACTATGATGAAGTATTTGCTCCCGTCGCTCGCTTAGAAATTATAAGATTGATTATTTCTATAACGGTACAAACGAAATGGAACATCTATCAAATGGATGTTAAATCTGCTTTCTTGAATGGTTTTCTTGAAGAAGAGGTTTATATAGAGCAACCTACAGGTTATGAGGTGAAAGGGCATGAAAATAAAGTTTTAAAGCTAAATAAAGTTTTATATGGTTTCAAACAAGCTCCAAGGGCATGGAATACTAGAATCGACGAGTATTTTCAAGAAAATAATTTCACTAAATGCCCCCATGAGCATGCCCTTTACACCAAAGTGGAGAATGGAGATATTTTGATTGTTTTCTTGTATGTAGATGATTCGATCTTCACCGGCACCAACCCAAGAATGTTTGAAGAATTCAAGAAAGCAATGGCTCAAGAATTTGAGATGACAGACATTGGGCTCATATCATACTATCTTGGAATTGAAGTGAAGCAAAATAAAGATGGTATTTCATCTCCCAAGAAGGCTATGCAAAGGAAGTCCTCAAATGGTTTAACATGGCTAATTGTAAACCAATTAGCACGCCGATGGAATGCAGAGTCAAATTGTCAAGGTTTGAAGGTAGAGAAAAGGTGGATCCAACCTATTTCAAGAGCTTGGTGGGAAGTTTGCGTTACTTGACATGCACAAGACCGGACATACTTTTCGGAGTTAGACTAGTGAGTCGGTTCATGGACGAGCCAACTACAACACACTTAAAAAGGGCTAAGAGGATCCTCCGTTACATAAAAGGTACACTTGATTTCGGCCTATTTTTTTCATCATCTATCAATTTCCAACTTGTTGGATATAGTGACAGTGATTGGGCCAGAGACTTAGATGACTGGAAGAGTACAACCAGTTTTCTATTCTACATTGGTGACACAACATTCACTTGGATTTCGAAGAAGCAACCGATTGTCACCCTTTCCACTTATGAGGCCGAATATGTAGCTGTTACGTCATGTGTATGTCATGCGATATGGCTAAGGAGCTTACTAAATGAGCTTAATTTTGCACAAGAAGAAGCAACAGAGATATTTGTGGACAATCAATCAGCAATAGCACTAGCAAAGAATCCAGTCTTCCATGATCGTAACAAGCACATAGATACAAGATATCATTTCACAAGAAAGTGCATGGCTAACAAAGAGGTCCGAATGACATTCACAAGGTCACAAGATCAAATTGCCGATATCTTAACCAAGCCGCTCAAGCATGACATCTTTTTCAAGTTAAGAGTTTTTCTTGGAGTTACTAAATCAAGTTTAAGGGGGGATGTTGAATTGTAAACTTGATTTGGTTCAATAGATGAAGCCCAATACAAAAAACTCAAAATATAAGATATTTTGGAAGGAGATGTATGTAACTTCTAGAAGAGTTCTAGAATCCTTAGATATTTCTCACATATGTAAAAATCTAGAATCTACTTAAATATTATCTTGTAAAGAAATCTAGAACCTTCCATGAGTAGTATAAATATGGATGGGTTCTAAGTCATTTTATACTATGCCCAAAAAATTTGTGTTCAAGTGTAATACAAAGTACTTCCTCCACTCTTGTTTTAGTTTGTCCCTCTTCCAAAAATCCTTGCAACATAAATAACCAAAAAATCCTCATCTTTCAACACTGAAAGATTGGTCCATTAGGATGCCATGGATCCAACCACAAAAAATAGAATTTCTAGTAGCAATTCTATAGTTGATAAGGGTCAAATAGGTGTCTCTAAGACTCAACATCTTCCTCCAAGCCCATGAAGAGTTTGGAGGATTTTGATACTCCAAAAACATCTCCCTTTCAAAAGATAATTTTCAACCCATTACGTCCAAATAGAACTCCCATGTGTGGTTATAATATTCCACAAATTATCCACATTAGAGATTATTGAATTTAAATCGATGAACTTTGATTCCTAATTTTATGCATTGTTTTTGAAATTTCTTATGTTTAACATTCCTAAGACCTTTTTGTTTTTTTTACCATCTTATTCTAATAAATCCAACTTTCTCTTCCCTCCTTGACCATTCTTACTCCTCTTTTCTCCTTTCAATATCTTACTTCTCTTTTCTTCTTTCTACCTGATGTAGATAAGCTAAAAAAGTTTGGATAATCCGCCCATAAGGAGCGTAAAGAGGGGTCTGGTACGGTAGAATGAGGGAATGCGACGATGGGTTGAGATGGATTACACACTAAGAATTGGTATTAACATTAAACTAGTTCCAGAAAATGGCGATTTGCACAATATTTTTGTTTCATCCTTGATAAATGTGATGTGTGCAATTATTGTTACATTGGATAGTCGCGTGTAAGTACAAAGGTAGCTTAAGTGATAATAAGGACGAACCCTAAATTTAGATGTTCTGAGTTTAAATCTTGACAATTTCTTAGAACCAGATTATGAAGGACATATCTCTCATTAATACCTTAATTCTGGCGTTGATTTCTGTTGAAGTACACGTAAGCTAACCTGAATACTCTGACAATTAAAAAAAATAAATAATCACATCATGATTAAAAACGTTCTTCCTCTAGGCATGGCAATCCTAGAACGTGAAACTAACACGAACCCTACATGGATTTAACGAGTTTTGGTGTAGACTTAACGGGGTTCGGATAATCAATAGGTTAACTCGACAAATCTGTTAAATAAATGAATCAATTTTATGTTTCAACTCGTTTAATCCATTAACAGTGACACTATAAATTCTCAAAAAAATAGATCTTTCTGCCTCTACCTCATCTCAAGAATTGACATTCGTTGTTATGCACACATTTTTTTGTTCAGTCATGATTTATTGTTATAATAAATAGGTAAAATATATATAATATGTGGTAAGTTGATGTGTGAACTCAAAAAATTTAACCTATTCTCTTATTTACTGAGTGATACATCGGATGTGCCGGGTAAGTCGTCTAATAAATGAGTCGTATATGAGTGTAATAATTTGACCCATTTATATAAACAAATAAGATATAAATTGAAATTTTTTTAATACAAATCTATTTCATCGATACAAAACAATTTCACCAGACACGATTGTATTTATTTGTATTAATTTAATAGCCTTTCTAGTGTCACTGAACACCACAGTAAAGACCAGCACTTCAGTATGGATAATGTGTAATCTTAATTTTGTCGAGCCACTGATTGGTTGCCCCTGCCACGCTCGCCCAAGATTCCACAATATGATTGGTTCGAAAGTCTCTGTTTCAATATCATGCCACTTGGCTTAGCATTCATTTCCACCAGATGTAATAACCTGAAGACCACTTTATTACCCACCTCGGTGCATTCAAAATCCCTATGTTGCTTGACCATTTTCAGTTCTTACAGAGTTATATATTATGTTATGGGATAAATATGTATAAAATTGTTTTTAATAGTGCGTTGTTTGTCTGTGAACTCCTCCGTGGGTCTGTGGAGTGCATCAGGGAAGTTGTCTGTACAGAGCAGCAATTGTTGCATGCTCTTCCCCATGCAATGAAAGCAATCTTAGCAGGAAGCAATCTTACCACTTTGTTTTCCCTCTCTTTCCTTCACCGTGACCTCAACTTTAAACCCCACCCACCCAAAAAAAATAACAATAAAAAAAAGACAACATTTGAAGAAGAGACTGGTTATCCACTTCGGCTAAGCTTACACAGTGATACTTCTCTATATGTTTTATGGGATGTTTTATGGGCTGTTTCTAGCTTCGGATCGGAAGGTCAAAGTTTATGCAAAATAGAGAAGGAAATCTTAGTAGAAGAAACTACTGTAATATGAAAAAGGGTTATCTTTTCACTTTTTGAGAGAAACTTTTGAACCAAGAGGAATGATAAAAGGAGAAGCCCCAAGAAAGGAATTCAAAACGATCCTTGCCTGTAAGTGTAGAACTGAAAAATCACGTCTGACGTGACCAAAGAATCGTGGCTAAAACATGATATATATACAGTTCATATCAAACCGTAATCATAAAGCCTTAACTTATAAGGGTCTTGTCTTCTTGAGGTCAATACTTCAACTTCCTTTCTTCTCTTTTCACCCAAAAAATTTAAAAAAAAAAAAAAAATTATAGTAGCATGCATGCCCTTATGTTCTTTGAAGAGAAGGGTAAAGTGGTCAAAAAGGAAGACTAAATCCGAAGTTCCCATTTGCTGAAGACATACTGATTAAAATCTGATGGGATTAAAATTGAATTCTAATAAGTTTTTAGGCATTATCCATTTGAGTTTTGAAAACCTAATTTCCTTTCATATGTTTCTTGTATATGTCTTGCTGAAGTGACATTTTTTTTAAGCAAGCGTCAAGAGATGAAGGGAAACGGCAAATGAGAGTAGGAAACCTTAGTAATAGGACTTGATTACTGTACGGACAAAAGATAGAAATTCAGTATTATAGTTTTAAAATTTATTATTTTAATGAATATTTTTATAATTTTTATTGGATCATTTTAGAACTAATTTTTTTTTTTTTTTTTTGTATTTTCATCAATATTGTTACACAACTTTTCTTCATTACAAAAAAATATTTTGTTTTTGGGTGTATTCACAAATGTGATAAATAGAGGTATGCAACCAATTTTTTTTTTTGTTTTCTATGCCATAGACAACTCCTTAGTAATAGGCTCCTTCGGACCGAGAAGTGATGTGATATTGATATTGAGAGAGAGAGAGAGAGTAAAAGAAAGGAAATGGCAAAGATAGAAATAATGGAGATACAAGGAAGCAGCTTCCCAACACACACATCTTCCTAACCTTATTAGTTGTTTTAGGACAACAACTGCTCAACTTCTATTTCCATCCATTACAACAGATCTAAATGCATATCAAACAAAGAAATGTGTTCAGGCATGAAAAAGAAAGGAGCAATTGTACTTGGATTTAAATCTTAACTTGTCATACTGACATCAATCAATGTTATTGATTTAGTTGTAAATCTTAACATTTATTAGGATTCAATACCTATTCAATGATAGTATTTGCTCAAATCAACAAATCAAATTAATATTTTAAGCTTAAATAACATTTTTCAAAAGAAAAAGATGTTTCTGTATAAAGGAAAGAAAAATAAAGGATCAAACAGACAAGAAACTCTTTGTTTGACTGCACAGCATAATTATGTTCCTTTTGCCAAAATCTATCTACGATCTATGACAGAAGCTGAATTCTAGACATATAAGCATCATGTTTGTCTAAAAAGTCCAAAAAAAAAAAACATCTAAAATGTAAAAGAAGAAAAATAAAAGGATGAAAGAACTAAAATAAAAGAAGCGGAAGAGACCATACCTCTTCTCTGAAACCAAAGAAGTAAAGGGATGAAAAACTACAGTTCCACAGAGTTTTGAAAGAAAACTTGTACATAAGGTTTGAAAGAACAAAAAACCTGTTGTTGGAATATTCATAGAGCCGGCCACGGCTTGAGAAGACGATAAGTGAAACCTCGGCATCGCACAACACTGACAATTCATAGGCCTTCTTGAGCAAGCCATTGCGGCGCTTACAGAAGGTGACTTGTCGATTAGTCGTGTTTTCAATCCTCTTAATCTCGATCTTTCCTCTTCCCAGTTTCTTCGGGTGGGAGGACTCGGGTTCTTGATTAGGAAACGCCATCTTTGAAAGCTGAAATAAGCAAAACCAATTTGATGATTCTATTAAAACAAGTGATCAGATTTAAGCTTGAATTGGAAGTTGTAGCAAAGAGAAAAACTGAGGCATCCATAATAAGCAAAAAAAGAATTATAGTGAGAAGTTGCGTGTGTTTTAGGGGTTATGCTCACTAACCTGGTGAGAAAACTAGGGAGGAGATGGTAAACTAAGAGAAGGTAACAAGTTTCTTCCTCCCAATTCACTCTAAGCTATGGTAGATCTCTCAACAGGAGAGTTTCACAAAATGGAAGTTGGTTGTTCAAGCAGATGTGTATTAAAAGATAGAAAATAGACCCTCCAACACACTATTATTGGTGGATACAGATACACAGCAATATTTCTTCCTTTTTAGCAGAGTTGTATAGAAGAAGAGAAAAGAGGGTATTCATGCACTTTCAGTCCATCACCCATCGATTTTCTCAAGTATGGGAAAAAGAGAGGGAGATAAAGAGATGTTCTTTTGGAAAGTGACTATTAATGGGTCTGAATAAGACCACGGTGAAGTTGCATTCAACCTTTAATATATTGCAATGCTATTGGGTCTAATTTACTAATTTAATTTGTTAATCTAATTTATTATGATTTTTGAATTGATCGTGAACTTCATCAAATATTAGAACTTGATATTGATTTAATGGTTTCATTGAAGTCACATTATTATATCAATAAATTAAATCAATTTTTAACTGCAAATAGTATTACTATTCAAGATTTGGATTTTTAAACAAACTGAGAGAACCTTGTATGTTATTTAATTTTGGATTTTGAAGTTTTCCTTATTCAAGATTTGTTTCTGACCTTACATATGGTTGAAAAGTTTTCACGACCACCATTTTGTCTCTCTCTCTCTCTCTCTCCCTTACATTATTAGTGCATGAGAGATTTCGTGCAATAGAATGAGATAGTAATCCTCTCGATGATGAACCTAAAATAACCGTAAAGTCAGAAAAGGGGCTGGTGAACACCTGGTTTATCCCCTTCGAAGTTTAAGTCGGTATAAATTTGGAGGCTTGAGCACAATAAATTTCTTTCTAAGTTTTATGTTGCATACCTTTGTTCACTTTTTTGAAGAATATTTATACCTGAATTAGTAATGAGTGTAAGGATAGACAATCCCATCTCGACATTTAATGATCTGCACCCTTTCCCATGCGTAATAAATGTTCTTCGCTTAGATCCTCATGCTTTTAAGGATCGGGTGATAAGACGAGTGCTCGAGGCCTTGCCAAGCACTTATGGCTGTCCCTGGGCAATCAAGTCCTTCTGATCGGCGCCTGACACCTATTCTCGAGTATTCAGTACTCGGAAAACAGTAACTCGGTGTGCACCGAGGGAATATGCTCGAGGCAATAACCATTAATGTTTCGCAACCATGACTGCTGCTTTGGGTCTCGAGGATGCAAGGACTCATTAATAGTCCCGTCCTAGCCAGTCACATTCTCATCAATGAGTTGTCAAGTCTTATTAAATGTTGGTGTCAGTACGTATACTTGGCTTCCCTAAGTAATAATTTGCTCAGTGCCATCTCTCGGCATCTTCTGAGCTTTATAACAGTGTATTAATCCACATGTCAACTTGGAGGCCATTGAGACGCCTAAAGTCTCATCAATTAGAATCTTCATTCTAGTTGTTGAGGTTGTGACGTATATGAAGGTGACTCCCATGTGAGGCCCTGTTTACATCTCCTGTTCCTCAATTCATTTGTGGTAACATTAGAGGAACCTCATACTTTCAGTTCCAATTTGTTACCATCTATCAAGTGGAGGTCCGTTATGTGTGTTTTCTTCTAGGTGGGTACACTGTAACTAAAAGATTTAATTTATTTTTCAATAAAAAAAAAATGTGATACATTTATATTTTTAACATCATATTTGTTATGTAAAAATGTGACGCCCGTAAAACCGGGGGTCCCATTGACAACCCGTCAACCCGCGAAAATGCCCGTAAGTGTCGCTTGATTCGACATCACGCTAATGTCATTCCTTGAACCGAAATAATAATTCACATGAGAATCAGTATTCTTTTTATCATTTAATCCTATCGAGGTTCAATATAACCTAATTTATCTCATTTAAGGTCCATTTGTATCATTGGAAACAAATAATCCAAAGTCCATAGGCATGGCACAAAAAAATACAAAATTATTGGTTTTGAAAGTGTACCGGTACGGGTTGCCTACTGGACTTCACCATACTGGTACAGTTTGCCTTCTGGTCCTTGCCGTACTGGTACGCCTGGCTAGTTTTTCCCTGTTTCACTTGTTGTGCATTTCAAATCTATTCCAAACCTTTTCAATTTCATCCAAAGCATGTATAATGAAGTTTTCTACATTGTACATTATTCATACCAGTTTTATCACATGTGATTTCATAAATTTATAAGTCAAAAATGGAGTTTTAACAAAGGTTTTACAAAACTTCAAAACTAAAGCCACAGTCCAGCTTTTCTTCATCTTTGAGGCCCCGAATGAGAGTCTTCTGCCGGTGTAAACCCCGCACCTGAGATGTGTTCCCATATAGGGTGAGCCAATGCCTAGTAAAATATTTTCTACAGAGGCTACTCCCCATCTAAATACATATGCAATGTTTACATTCAACAACCGCATTCATAAATCCATTTCATCTAAGAACATGTTATTCAAGATTAAATTTCTACCATGTCATGTCATGATATGAGGTGAGACTTACTCATGCATTTTTCACCCAAGCCTACTCCGGTTCCCACAACACAATGCAATGCATGTGTGTAAAACATTTGTCCTTGATGAAATACATCTAAAGATCATTTTGAAACAAAATCATATGTTCATAAAACTAATTCATTTCTAGATGTTTCCCATCAAATAAATCATTTATATAACAAAATCATGTGTCTTTGTTGGGTATTGGATTTTGGAATTACACATCTGGCTCCGTACGCCATTACACTTTTCTGAAATTTCACCTCAGGGGAGTGTATGAACCTAGTAGTCAGGTCTTTCACCCGAGAACGTGTCTAGCCCTTCTTACTATACCTGACACAAGTTTTTATGTGACCGTGCAACTCAATCGGGTTTTCAATCCAATATTTTCGAGCCCACCATCAATCACTAAGTATGGCGATTGATCACACCATGCACTCACACACCCACATCATGCCTATGGATGCGATAATTCCGTGCAAATGCAATGTAATGAACCATTGCTCATCAATATCATGTCTCATATGTAATGAATGTCATATGGATCAATTAAACCACATACTTCAACATATGTCATGGCAACTTATATCTTAAACATATAAATACCACAAATCATCACAATGTCAATACAACAAGTAGCATATATTAACATTTATATCCAACACAATTTACAAGCATGTTACTTCATAAATCATGTTCATAGCACACTTAAATCAAATGGCACATTATAAACACATAGCATGCCCACATAAAACCCAACTTTTCTAGAGCTTATTAAATACTTCCACATAACCAAATCAAACTAAAAATTGGTCTAAGCCATTTCTATTCCCCTTTTTCTAATTTCCATGACTATAGGGAAGTCCTAAGTCATTATATATATCTACCCATTTCATAAGGACACCATAGGGTAGAAATAAATCAGAGTATGAGGGAACCCATCTCTTGGAGCGTGAAATGAGTGGGAGAAAGCTTCTAGACACCTCCCTATCCCCAAAAACCTTGATTTCACAAAATCCTCCCCTTGAATCTTTGGTGAAATCCCTTGTTCTTGGTACAAACGCATAGCCCTCGTCGCGTAGACCAACTTTAAATCTTGGTCCAAGCAATTCCGACCAACGGAGCTCCTTAGATTGAAGAAAGAAATCTTGGATTTTTTTTTTTGATTTTCTCCTTCTCTTTTCTCTCCTTTCTTCCAATGCCTGAACTCAGCTGACTTTGGGGTGAGAATATCTGATTTTTCAGATATTTATCCTCTATTTATGCTTTTTAATTGCGTAGTCCACATTGCTCCGCACGTTTACAACTTTCGGGACCGTTTTTAACCCGAAACGACTTAATTAAATCTCGATTTTTGTTCAAATTATTTTTATCTAAAATTTTATTCAATTATAAGGAAATTTTATAAATTTATTTTTTGGGAATGTTTGTGACGTCATTTGTCACCCAGTTGTCTCGTAAAACATATAAAATTCGACTATCTCGGAATTCAATGAAAATTGACATGGCAGCTTGATTTCACGATGCGAATCCAATGGTGAGGTCCGTTAGTTCATCCAAGCTCTAGAAAAATATTGATTTTAACCTCGCATTATAGTGGCAAATTACCATTTTGTCCTTTTTTCGAAAAAATTCAAATTTTTCCCGGGTTTTACATTATTCCCCCCTTAAAAGAATTTCGTCCCCGAAATTCACACACACATATACATTCAAACACATGCATATGTAACAGTCATGCAATATTACAAGACCATAAAAGTGTACCTCCATCCTCAAATTAGAAAGGATAATTGGTACAGATAGTATTATTGCGCTCCTATGTCACCTCCTCTACTCCTCGGTGCTGCCATAGCACCTTCACTAGCCTCACAATCTTGTCTCGCAAAATCTAATCTCGGCTATCCATGATGCGCACCGGTCCCTCCTCGAAGGTCATATCAACATCAACAACAAGCTCACCCCAATTCACCACATGAGTCAGATTCGGAGTGTATTTCTAGAGCATAGAGACATGAAATACCGCATGAACACCCGATAAATTTGGCGGTAACGCCAACCAGTAAGCTACTGTACCCACTTACTCGAGTACCTCGAAGGGCCCGATATACCTCGGCAATAGCTTCCCCCGCTTACCAAACCAGACCACTCCTCTCGTAGACATCACCTTCAAGAAGACATAATTTCCCACCTCAAACTTTAGAGGTCGCCGTCGTCTATCGGCATAGCTCTTCTACCGGCTTTGAGTCGTGAGAAGACGCTTCCGTATCAAATCCACCTTCTCCGA